AATAATGTTAAGATGCTTGGCTGTCTTTTGAATCTTGGTTTCCCTTGTCTACCATTGTACATAGACACTGGAGCGGAGACAAAGGACTAGCCAGAAACATCACTATAGAAAGCTTGTAAGTCCATTTTCAGCCTGTAACTGATTGGAATACCTTAAAGGGTACTAGAAGTTTCCCCGTGAAAGAGGCTTCCTGTGGAGTCTTTGCATTGCATAAGAACATAAGTGGAATCCTGAACCCTATCCAGAATCTGTCTGAGGTGGGAAATTTCCACTTGAAAAGACACGTAGACCAGCCTGGAGCAGCCAGAAGAACAGAAATAGTTGGTGAAATAAAGGCCAGCAGGAAAAAATAGCAGTCTGATAACTACTACAATAACTACCAAGCTGTTCGCCCAGGAGCCATCAAGGCAAGTGGTGGGGTCCCCTCAAAGCAAACCCCATTCCAAAACTAAGATTCAAGGGGAAAACACGAGCAGGCATGTGGTCTGGCTGATAAACCAGGTTGATCACCGATAAGGGAAAGAGGGGCAAAATAGCAATGAATTTGGGAGTTAAATCTAACCACATTCAATAGACTCCTGTGAACCAGGGAGGAGACCTGGATGGCTAGCAATTACAGCAAGACCTGGGGACTCCTGGGCCCAGAGGCAGTGACATGGCCACAGAGGTTTGGCTTCAATTGCTGGATGATCAGAGCTCGATTAGAAGAAGAAAGAAGAGGAGAAAAAGAGTAATCTGCATCTATACTTATGGTTGTAGTAGCTCAAAAAAGGGAACAAATCTTTACAACGAAGATCATTCCTACCTCCTCAGTATACAGGGTTGACAGGGTTGGGTAACTTAGATATTGGCTACCCCCAAAAAGGGGGGTGGCTACAAAGGCAAGACATGACTGGCTTACAAGCTTTCAAGAGGAAGCCTAATTTCAGACACAGGGGGGGAACTCCACTGAATGATTTCCAATCTTTTGGGACAGGGCTAATGAAAGGAGATGGGAATAAGACTCTTTCTTTGTGTTACAATAGTGAATAACTGCTATCAGGACTGACTGTGAGTGTTTCAAATGTAAAGGTAGACGTTTTGTAACAAAAGGAGGGGAGTGAATGATTTTGCAGTCCAGGAGTCAAGGTCCCTGGGACCATCAAGGGAGAAGAGCTGAGTGCGGGACCCTATCCAGAGAAGCATGTTACCAGAAACGGAGGCAGAGATGGAACGATGTAGTGGCTGGGCACACTAGACTCAGGGAGGGCGCAGGGCTGTGTACTGATGGCCAGGGGTGTTTCCTGTGGTTGTAGGATGATGCATAGAGGGGATTGTAATCATTGAAATGAAATGTAATTCTACAGGATGAATGTAAAGGTTATGTTCTCCCATGTAAACTATGAACTTTGAGGAGGCAGCTTGTCCCAAGCTGTATTTTGAGTGCTTTCCAACATGAAGGGCTCATCTTCTGGCACTATACCTAACAATGTCCCACTGCTAGTCATCAAGTTTTCAGTGGCTATAAATTCAGCAGTAGTCCGCCTCTCCTTTTGCTAGTCTGCAAGCTCAGTTGAAACTTGTCCACCATGGGTGATTGTGCTGGTATTAAAAAACAGGTGGCATAGCTTCCAGCATCACAGCAACACACCAGAGTAGGACAGACTGACAGACAAATAGGTGGACAGGATCTGCTGGGCCAGTTAAATTCAGGACAGATAAGTCAGCTCAAAAGTTTATGGACACAGAGTGAAGCATCCAGTTGATATGGATAGGGATGGGCAACTTAGACATTGGCTACCTAAAATAAAGGGGGGATAAAGTCACAAAATGACTGGCTTACAAGGTTTCAAGAGGGAGTCTAGTTTAATAGTATGTGGGGAAGAAAAAGCCTTGCTAAATAGTTTTCATCTTGTCTAGATGGATCTGGTTAAA